GGAGGAAGTCTCTCCACAAACAGGAGGCTGCATAGTAAATATTTCAAACTTTACAGGCCAGACGGTCTCTGTGGCAACTGGTCAGCACTACTCTTGTTGTCTGAAAACAGCAGGAGCCAAAGCCTAATGAATGAGCATGGCCATCTTCCAATAAAACTTTATTCATGGACATGGAAATTTGAATTTCATATTGTTCTCATGTATCAGGAAATATTATTATTTTTTATTTGCTTCTACCATTGAAAACTATGTAAACTATCTTTAGCTTGGGAGCAATAGAAAACAGGCGATAGGACTGATTTGGCCCTAGGGCAGTAGTTTGACAGACCTTATTCTAAAATTTATGTGGTTAAAACTATGTCTATAATTTTTTTTTTTGAATCTGTTTCCAGGTCAAACACATGACTACTATATCCCTTACTTACTTATATCTTAAAGTAAAAACTTTTACAGCATATGTATCTATGCATGAAAGAACATACATGTAGGTATACACAGTTGTTTGTTTTGTGTGTAAATGTGTGTGTGTGTGTGTATTTATGCATGTGTGGGAATGTGTGAGTTTGTTTTCTATTATAGTCTCACACTACTTAAGGCAGTTCAGTAACATAAAAAAGAGTTCAGGAATGAAAATAAAATAGACCCAAGATTATATTCTGACTCTGTAACTACTTGTGTGACCTCAGAAAAATTATTTAACCTTTCTGAATCAGCCTTCTCATCCCTGAAGGGAGTTCTTATGCCCCACCTCATATTGGTTCACTGAGGAAAAGTAGATAACATATACAACCTAGGGTATAGAAGTACATACACAAGAATATCATTGTATTTTGAATGACTGAATCACTTTTTTCTTTTTTTAAGACTTGGTGTGGCTTCCTGAAGAAACTAAAGGGTTACTTCCATGGAAGATTTTCTGGATAAAAACAAACAGAACATCCCCAGATCAATTTCTTGCACCTTTTTGATTTCCTTTTGCAGTGGTACCATTGGCGTCCTCGTGTTATTGTTTTATCTGACCTCAATCTTTTTTGGACCTGGTTGCCCACACATTCAGACACTCCTGTGACTTTGCCTGGGCTCTGCATACACTTATTATACCTCTCTAGAGCAGTACTTGCACTTTCAGTAGGAGAGTCTCTTTTGACAGAAAGAGACAAACATACTCCTTTTCTTTTGAAGCTTTCCTGGTCGGGGCACTGGTTAAAGAGGAGCACTGAATGGAAAACTTGCCAGATAGGGAGAGTTCATGGCAATCACACATTTTATGGGATTCACAAATCTGTTTCTAAGAAACCTCTTTTAGATGGGTCTCATCTTTGAGCTGCATATTTTGACCCCCTTGACTGTAAGAAGCAGCAGAGCTAATCTCTCAAGTGTCAGGCATTTACAGTCAGTCAGTGTAATACTGCTGTGCAGCCTCTAAATGTAGGATGTTTATTTAATCGTATGTATTTTAAAATAGCATTTTTTTCAGTACAAATCAAACTTACTTTATAATTGTGGTATGTATTAAAGTTATATAGTGTACTGTAACCTTGATGAAGTGACTAATAAAACTTGTACTAATAAATCCCTTACTAAGAGCTGTCAAATGCTCTTTTTAAAAACATACTTTTGTTTTTTAAGAAATATTGAATTTATTGCTTTAGCTTATAATATAATTATCTTATGTAAAACATCTAAATGTATGATATCAGGATATATTCTTATATATATAAAAAGATACATTCTTATATATAAACTGTGACTTTCTTTATGTGTGTGTGTGTGTGTGTCTGTGTAGATATATACACATAAAATCAACAGTGTATTTTACCTTTTTGTCTCTGCATTTAGCTTTAAGTAAATCAGCACTGAATGTGCCATATTAAGGAGTTTACTTTCAAAAGTTTCCAGTGAACTGGAAGGGGTGGGACAGTTTATAATATGATGCTGTCTTTCTGTGTGTCTTTTTGGAAAAATTGCTGGAACAAGTGAAGTTGCAGAAATATCCATATACTTCATTGTTTCGTTGTGGCCTCATGACAGTCATGCTGGGAATTTGGAGTCCATTGTTTTGTCGATAAATGCTCCCTTACCCCTTGTCTAGTAGGGATAAAGAGAAACAGCCACTGGAACACCTGTGGGCTCACACTGGCAGGCTAAGGGTGACATTGAAGGTGTGCTGGCTGTGTCACAGGCTTCCTGAAGTGTTTGGTGAGAAGGAGGTACAATCCTGAGGTTGGGAGGATCACACTACTATGACCTTCTGATTTGAATCTGTCATTTGGTCATTATTATCTTCTTCTGTTCTTTCATTGGATTCCTTATTTTCTCTAATTAAGGCTCACATTTCATGAACGTGTCTAATTTTTTGGATCCTGCAGAGTATGTAGTAAATATTCTATAAATATTTAAACTAAAAGACTTACTATTTTTTAGCATAAAACTTCTGAGGGCCATCATTCTTTGACAGGATAGATGAAAAAACAGTTCACAGACATTAAGGAGACTTTTCTAAGTCTCTAATCTCCTTTCTTCCTTCCTCTTCATTCCATGGTTTTGAATTGGTTTAAACAAAATATTATGAATTAAATTTACACACACAGATCAGGTACAAAATGAATTCACATGAACGTGTTTTGTATGTACACTATAGTCTAAGAGCTAATGCATCCCTTTGAAGAATAAGGATAATTCTGCTTTCTCTAGATATGTCAGCCCTCTTAGATGATAAAGTAAAATGCAATTTATAGGAAGAAGGACTACTTTAATAAGAAAATGGCCCTTTATCTATTCTGTTCCTCATATATTCCAAGTGCTTATCACAGTTCCTGGAAGAGAGAGGATGCTCAGGAGAGCACTGAGTTGAGTGGTTGAGTTAGTGAATGAATGCGTGAGTGAGTGGCAGGGAGGGGAGAAGGAAGGGAGAAGGAAAGGATTGATGGAATGACCTAAGGTCTAATGATTATTTCTGAGTTTGGCTTTCAGAATCTGTTTTTATGGCCAATGTGTCAGTGTACTTGGATAGCTTCTGGCTGTGGCATCAGCAGCCAATCCCTGGCTGTTCCTGGGGCTGCCATTATACTAGAGCAGGTCTCAGGACCCTGCAGAGCCTACTCTGGCAGTTGTACTCTGAGGGCCACTAGAATTCTTCCTCCTATTCTTGTTCTCATCTTTTTGTCCCTTCAGTTATCTTTGAATATACTATAGGAGAAATAAATTAGCATAGTCCCATTGTAATATCATGCATCTCTTCCTATCTTTTATCATCAGTGAAATATATATTAAAAATATGAACAGAACTAAGTTTAACTTCATCTTTGTTCTTTTGGGGTATCTCTTCTTTCCCCTGCATGTCTTGCAATTTATTGTGGAAGTGTTTTTTCCCTTTGGGTAAGAGTTAAATTGTTGGGTTGTGCATTAAGACTTATGGTCTTTAAGAGTCATAAATCATGGTTCTCCTGATGTTATAGTTTCCTTCTATATATGAGCGATATTTAAAATAATATTCAAGTGGATCTTTTAAACAATAGCCTGATAACTTAAACTTGTACACAATCAGCTTAAGAAAATTAATAGCCCTTTTATTGTTTCTTCCTTTTCCTTCGGCCTCAATTTCCCTGAAGTGGTTTCATTATCTCAGAAGTCATTCAGTCTTAGAACCTCAGGGCACATGGTCCTATTCTTCTTGTCTGTCTTTTCCCATGTTCAGACAGTTAGTTGTTGAAGCCCTCTTGATTTCACTATCATGGAAAATTTGTACCATATTTCTCTTAATTCACATCTTTGCCACCAGAATTTTGGGTAGCATTGCCTCTTTTCTGTATTGTTAATTGCATATTTCTACCCTACAAGCAGAGTCTTCTCCTCCTGGCCATGTCCATGCCCATGTAGAACTTTTGTACCTTTCCTGGAATGGGTATGATCCTCTGTACACTGTATTTCATTCTCATCCTCAGGCTATCAGCGTGTCACTTCTGATGGGAGGTACTTTCAGTATACTCAGTATTTTTCTTTTATAATACCTATTGTACTTTTTACCTCCCCCCCCCCCAATTGTATAAAGCCTAAGAACCCATATGGTTCAGTTTGGTCAGACATTCACCTCCAAAGATATTAACTGAAACAATCTAAATTTTAACCTTGCCTCTACTTTGCCTCTAGAGGGGAAAAAAGTCTGAATGTGTTTATGCTTTAAAGTATAGTATGATGTGTATTAATGCTAGGAATTGATCCCTGCATTGCTCTACCACTGAGATATATCCCAACTTATTTTTTTAGTTTGAGACAGAGTCTTATTGCCCTTGAACTGATGATCCTCCTATTTCAGCCTCCCTCACTGCTGGGATTATAGGAATGTTCCACAACACCCAGCTAAAATGTAATATATATTTACTTATTTTTTTTTTTGCTATAAGGGATTAAATTCAGGGATATCTTACAACTTAGCTACATTTACAGTGCCTTTTTATAATTTTTCTTTTTTTGAGACAGAGTTTTGTTAAATTGCCCAGGCTAGACTCAAACTGCCTTGATCTTCCTGCCTCTGCCTCCCAAGTTGCTGGGATTTGTTTGTGTGACTGTACCTGGCCAGTATTATTTTTATTTGATCATTTGCTTTCTATATGCCTTCTCTAGAATTTAAGTTCTCAAGGACTTGATGATTTGCTCCCCACTGTATGTTCAGCCCCTTAAAAATGACTCTTAGTTTCTCTTTTCCAAATTTCTTTTCTTAATCAAGGAACCCTTTCCCCAAACCAGGTAAGTCTTTGTTGCAAGGTGTTTGCTGCCCCACCTGTTACTCTTTACCCTTCCTAAAGATGGGGTTGAGGTCTTATTTATCTTTATAGTCTAGAACCTGGAACATCAACTGAGAAGATGTTAAGTACTCATTCTATTATATCTACTGGCAACGAAAATGAATGAAAGACTTAAACTGTGTCTTATATATAGAAGATATTTTGTAAAAATTATGACAAAATGAGTGAATAACTTAGCTCTTTCTTAATTTACAGGTGATTTTTGAAGTGATAACCTCTGGACATCAAGGTTACCTTGCTATTGATGAAGTGAAGGTGTTAGGACATCCATGTAGTAAGTTGCCTCTACTATTAAATCTTGGGGTACATCACAGGGGTATATTTGGGTTGCGGATTTAGTGAAGGAACTAAAACCCTGGTAGAAGATGACTGTCAAGAGAGTTCATTGGCATGTCTCCAGGTTCATTTTCTACCCCAGAAGTCCAAAAGCATGTATTTCATGAATAAATGTCATGGCTTATAGTATCTAAGTATCTTTTAAAATGAAAATCAGATATGGAGTAGAAAGGAATTCTTTCATACACTTGAACATTCTGGTAGAGGATCTGCTTATTTGTTGCCATGATCCTTGGATTTCCCTTTCAATATTGGCACAGGATTAAGTGATAAGAATTGGTGCATTTAAGTCTTAAGTAACTTTCAGCCATTTTTTTCTTAGTTTTGTCCCATAATTTTAAAAAATATAGCTCCCAACACACTATATAAGAAACCTACCTAAGTCACTTTGGGACCCCAGAAGTGGCTTGTTCCTCACCTTTTACAAATTAGTACTTTTAAAAAAAGTATAATATGTGAGGCCCAGTGCAGTGGTGCATGCCTATAATCCCAGCAAGTCAGGAGTCTGACATAGGGGGATCACAAGTTTGAGGTAGCCTCCGCAGCTTAGCAAGCGCTTGTCTGGTGGGAGAAAAATGCATTTGATGTAACTCAGTGGTAGAGGGCTCCTGGGTTCAATCCCTAGTTCCTTGAAAGAAAAAGAAAAAGAATAAAGTATAATGGATGATAAACACATATACATTTTTTTAAAAAGCTGATATGAACACCTGAACTATTTATATAAAATAGTGCAGATAGTCTCATTTCTCCCACCTCCCCAGGGCCACCATGGTGGTGAGCTGCTCACTGCTCATTGCACCTCTCTGTCTATATAGTTTCTTGTTTGCTTTAAGCAAAAAAAGCTTTTATTCAAATGGGAATTGGGTGGCAAGTGGAATCCCTGTAGCATCACTGGCTCACAGAGTGAGTAGACCTCAAACTTGAGACTCTTTAGGAAGACTACAAGCACTACCATGGCAAAGGAGCTGCTGCCATGCCTGTTCCCTAACACTTGGAAGGTGACCCTTGTCTCCTGTAGCCGAAAGTCGTCCATTGCTATGGACCTTGGCATCCTTGGCCTTAAGTGCAAGGCCCATAGTGTGATTGTCAGGTTGGTTATGCTAGATCACATGCCTATTTCCTCTTGCAAACAGCACAATCAAGGGGAACAGGGTTTTCTACTTTCTTATAAGAGCTAGGACTTGCCTTTTACTAAAAAATATATCCTGCTGGGCAATCAAACACTCTGTGTGTGTGTGTGTGTGTGTGGTGTGTGGTGTTTCCCATAATCACAAAGTATTTATACACAGCAAACTTGTAAGCCTTGTCTTCTGTACATCTAATGAATGATATCCAACCTTACAAATTTTTCTGTGCAGTTATATCCACTGACAATTGTTTCCAAGTTTCCCCTGCAGATACCAAAATCTGTTGATGCTCTAAAGAAATGGTGTAGTGTTTAAGTATAATCTATATTCATCTTGCCATATACTTTAAATCATCTTTAGATTACTTTTAATTCCTAGCATAATATAAATGCTTTATAGATAGATGTATAAGGGATGGTGTTGTTCAAAGTTGTTTTTATAAGTTGTTTAGGGGATGGTTACAAAATAAGATGTTGGTATGTGTTTGGTACAGACACAATTATTTTTAAAAATATTTTCTACCCACATTTGGTTGAATCCACAAATGTAGAACTTGCAGATATGACTGTACTCTTTGATTTTTTCCCCTTTTACTTAGCATTTGCATTTTTTAGGTCAATCCACAGTGCTCTGTCACAGGAATATACTGCATTTTATTCTTTTTTGAACATTTAGTGTCTTCTCTAACCATGGTTTTCTCGCTTAAACACATTGTTGCAGGGAACATCTGTGGCTGGGTGTCCTGATGCAATTTGGAGAGCTTCCGTGTGGTAGATATATTCTTAGAAGCCCAGTTTCTGGGATATAGAAAAGACACATTTTAGTTTTATTAGATGCTGCCAAATTGGTATGAAAAGTGTCTGGACCAGTTTATATCCCCACCAGCAGTGCATGGAAGTTTTATTTCCCCTATATCCTTGCCCAAAATTGATATTGTCAGACTTTAAATTTTTAGCCATCTGAGTGATGGCCACCTGCTTTATTTTTGGAATCCCTAGCATTAAGAGAAGCTGGCTAGTTCATACATTTTATGGATCTCTGCTGATGGCTCCTATCCAAATCACCAGAGAATGGTTATATCCAGAAAATTAAAAATATAGATGCTTATAAGAATGTCTCAGCTTTTTAAAAAATATTATTTTTTTTTGGTCATTATATCACTCTTTGCTGTAGTTACAGACAAGGTCTGTGTGGCTATTATCTAATGAGGGTATCATGATGCAGTTGTCTAATTCCATCCAAAGGGGTTTGCTCTCTCTTTGAAATCTTTATTTGGTGCTCTGAAGCTTGCTATAGCATGCAAGTTAACATACAGTAGTCACACCATTTATTGCTAAGGCAGCCATTACTTTTGTAATGTGTCACATTTACCTTTTCATCTGTGTCAGCAAGACTGGGAGTTAGAGAAAAATCCCCCCCACCTTTTTTCCTGAAAAGGCAGGAAAACGAACAAGGCTGCACCTAATTGAAACAGCAGGGGAAATTTAGGAAGCAGAATATAATTACCTGAGTTGGAACTCAGCCAAATCCTCAGAGTAATACCCTCAGGCTTGGAAAAGTGCCCCGGGATCTTCTGATACACACAAATGTTCATGGCCTCTGATTCACTGCTTACAAGGAGGTAGAAAAATAAGAGCCAGTAATACTGTGCCCCTACTAAGTGCTAATTGCACAGATGATATATGTGGTCACCCTGTTTCTTAAAGAGTAAATCTGTCAGCAAAATAGATGCTGCTGCTACTGCACTGGATGCAGGTGCGAAGAGTGTGGCCAAGGTTGCCTAGGGCTTCCCAAATTTGTAACCTGAATTCCATCTTATACATCTGGCCTCTGGCTACTGGCTAATGTCCGAGCTTCAGAAGTATAGTTCCTTCCATCCACTGGATTTCATTCATTCTGTTCAGCAAAAACAGACTGCTTATCCTTCTATCAGTACTTTCCTGAAACATTATCTGTTGCTGTTTTACACATTCCTTAGGAACCAGCCTCCCATGGCTATAGAAAAGGTATTTATGTCTCATTCCTTTGGAGAATCCCTGTGCTAATGCTTAATTGGCTTTGTGGACTGCTATTAGGAGGCACAGAATTGCAAAACAGTCTCAGTGCTGAAGTACAACAGCATTTTGAACTGTAAGCTTTAAATGGTTTTGATGATAGCCCTTCTGTAGTTATTTTTTCTTGAATCTCCAAGTTTATGGGGAAAACATGCAAAAAAAGAATTTAAGGATTAAAGCATTAGTTTGATCTTAAAATGGAAAGCTTTACACATAATATTTTATGAGATTTCCTATAAAGATTTCTAAATAATCAATTATTTTGAAATTTTGATGCTCATTATATTCATATACCAGTGGAGCATAAGTATTTCATGTCCCAAACTATGCTTTCCAAATGGATGCAGAATTGCTGAATCTTATTTATTTCACTGTAAAGCTTCCTGTTTCAACTCATATAGGTTTATGAGTAGGCATTACAACATTTTTTAAATAGTAGCTGTTCTCATACAAGTATGTAGTTGCTCATAAAATCAATTTTAATGTAGTGACAATAAGATGGAGGACCAGCTTGAAATGTGGAGATGGCTGTGCAGAATCAGCAGCTCTCTGGCTTAAAACCACTTCTAATAAACAAAGATAATTCTTGCATTTGGTATGAATGCTAAAAATACATTTTGAGTTTGGTTCAGTGAAACTGGTAGGAAAAACTGAAAAAGCATTTTGTCTGTTTCATGATGTTGTCTTCTGTTTTAAAAGTATTTATGAGATCTTCATCTATTGGCATTTCTGTTATTATCTTGTGATTCATACACACAAACACACACACACACACACACACACACACACACATTTTAGTCAGCTATGTCATTGCTGTGGCTGAAAGATCTCACCAGAACAACTGTAGAGGAGGAAAAGTTTATTTAGGGGCTCATGGTTTCAGAGGTCTCAGTCTATAGAAGGTCGACTCTATCCTCTTGGCTCAGATGAGGGCTGAACATCATGGTGGGAGAATTTGGTAGAGGGGAAGCAGCTCACATCATGATGAGAGAGAGAGAGAGAGAGAGAGAGAGAGAGAGAGAGAGAGAGAGAGAGAGAGATCTCTACTTGCCAGATACAAATATATACCCCCGAGTCACGCCCCCAGTTCCCACCTTCTCCAGCCACACCCTATCACTTCAAGAGACTAACTCTTGTTAGTCTCTGTCAGGGGATTAATTCACTGATTTGGTTAAGACTCTCACAACCCAATCATTTCTTCTCTGAGCCTTCTTGCATTGTCTCATGTGTAAGCTTTTGGGGAACTCCAGATCTAAACCATAACTATATACATGTACATATACGAGTACATATACATATATATACAAACACACATACACACTCACATATGTATATGTGTATATATACACATACATATATAGAGAAATTTAGCAGTTTTAGTGAGACATAATTTGCATATCATCCAATTTACGCATTTAAATTATTGAATTCAGTAATGTTGTTTGTATATTCAGAGTTCCCTAATCAATTTTAAAACACTTTCATCCCTCTCCCTAAATTAGTCAATCCTTATTCCCCTGCTCCAGCCCTTAGCAACCCTTAACCTACATCTTGTCTACTTACATTGCATTTAAATTAAATGAGATAACATGTGCTCCTTTGTGTCCTGCTTCTTTCTCTTGGCATAATAGTTCAAGGATCATTTACATTGTAGCATGTATCAATATTTTATGCCCTTTTTAAGCCAAATAATAGTTCATTGTATGGTTATAATACATTTTATTGAATCATTCATAAGCTGAGGGGTATTCAAGTTG